AAAATTAATGTCCTTATCTAAAGCCATATTATAACCCGCTTTCCATGCAGCATAGCCGCGGAGATGTTTTATATCTTCACAAAAAATCTGATAGTTGTGCCATTTTTCACACACTTCGACACCACGGACTCTGTAGTTCTTATGTTGCTTATCGTTAGAATAGCATCGATAAAACATGCCTGTCCATAGCTTGTATTCTCTTCTGGTTGAACCATCATGATTCCTTGAGGTATACTTGCCGACGCCCATAAAACCGCGCCTAAAAACTGTGGGGACGAAATAGTCCTTAACCATCCCTTTTACAATTGAAGACGTTCTGGCTGTTGTGATAAAGCCCGTGCTGATAAATCTGACATAAAACTGGTCTGATTTTTTATCAAGGGTTCGCCCTATAATTTCAAAAGGGCCAAAATCATTTGTCGCATGGATTGAACCAACCGGATATTTTTTGCTGGTATAATTGGTTATGTATTTCACTCTCACTCCGCTATATGTCACCATATAGAGTAGACTATATCTTACACACATCTGTTCCTGTGTGCCCTTATGTTACGAGGTTACTTAACCTCTCTCAAATCCTTCCTTAAAAGAATTTATTTAGTCGTTACACTCAGGCTCGTTCCTTGAAATAAGCCCTAGCTCGGCATTGTCTCGTAGAGAGTTTCATAGAGAGTTCCACCGAATTAATAAGGTTTATACTTGACGTGGGATAATTTTTATCTATTAGTTCATCAAGTCTTTTATTCCAGACAGCGCGACGGTTTTTGTATTATAGGTCTCTGTATCATCCATTATCAGCACATTAAAAGCAGACTTGGCTTGCTTCATCAACCTGAATCTCTTCAATACTGCCCGTTCACCTTCTGGATTGGTGAGTAAACTTTGTAAACCATCAACGGTAACAATATCAACCGTAGCTTCCTGACAAAGTTGTGCGGCAGCGCTTGCAGTAGTAAAGAAATTATCTATCGTGCTTTCAAGCGGTATCAATACGCTATCGGAATACCATTGGTTACGCTGTGTTTGAAACAGTGGAAGCTCAGTACCTTCAAAACGTATAAACCGCGAATGATGAATCTTGTCCGGACAGCCCACAAATTGATAATATTCTGGCATACCATAATGTGGAGACATAGGGTCAAGGCACATAGCGCCACAAGGAAACATTCGTGTTCTGTCCACCACTTGCAAAGACTTGATACACCCCGGCTTCAACTTTGTTACGTTGAGTGGCATATCAAGAGAGCCAGCCCCCTTCAAATCCAGCATCACGAATGCCGTTCCATAGAGACGCGCCCACTGGTAGGCCATGCGAAACAGTGTAGGAATGCCAAAATAATCCTCGGCTTCCTTGCCTCTTTTATCTGAAATGCTGCGCCATTCACGCACCATATCTTGAGGAATGATAGTGCAAACCTTTTGGCTAACCCAATCCTCTCTAAAACGGGCAATTAAATGCGCCCAATCGTTATTTCGTCCTGACTCTATCCATCGATTGTGGGATGATTTATCGTTAATTGTACCAAGGCCAGAGACAAGATTTTCTAATCCGTCTGCTAACCTTAGCGATTTTTTCATTGCTACTGTCTTTTTTGTTGGCACAGTATGTAATTCTTCTTTTTTACGTATGGAAGACACTGTTTATTTTCCTTTATTCCTTCCTTCTAAGAATAGCACCATTAGATTTTTCAATGTGAACATCCTTTGATGTATTGACATAAAGCTCTACATTTTTGTTACAAGCTTCTATAACGGCGAGCGTGTCACCTATTTTATTACAGACAATCATAAAGGAATTATTATAATGAGAACGTCCGTCCAGTCTTGTTTTTATAGCCATAATAATTAATCATCAACCCAATTCTGATAATTTGCGCTCGAGCCTGAAAATTCTATCGTCACAGCATCAGATACGTTATCACATACGTCATCATTTCCTGTACCGGAGCCTAGAGATGTAAATGATGTGATTTCTCTTCTAATGTGATTGATATGCTCATGATTTCGTGGGAACCATATTCTACCTTGAGCAAAGTATGGAACAGTGTTTAAAAATCTTGCGACTTTATCGCCACCGGAACGATCTCTGTTTACGGGAATGCATCGAATGCTGGCATCTTTCATAAATTGCTGATTGATATAAAGCCCCGATGCCTTATTCTCCATATACAACGCTCTTGGTAGTAAGTTAGGATACCTTATGTTTAACGTGTTATGCTTTTTCCAGAATTTTTCTATTTCTTTCTTCAGCGGAGATATTTCCCACTTACCTACCATTGCATCCAGCATAACCAACATTCTTTCTTTCGTTACGCCCCAATATATCAATACAGAATAGTCTGAATAAGATTCTTTGGTTGATGCCGTATCTGCGGTAATGAAAGTTTTCACAATGGTTTTTAAGTCAATCTCATCATATTCAACAAACCATTCTTCATTAATTAAACCATTACCTTTCGCTGATGGGTCTCCTGCATATTGACTATTATACGTATAAGGCGTCTTTGCCTGCATTTCCTTCAACGTTTCATAAGACTTCCTACTTGCCCACAATGCGGATTCTTCATCTCTTTTCAAGTCATAGATAACAGGAATGGCATGGGTATATCCCTGCTTCCTGATAAGTCTGTCATACCATTCTGTAGAGCCTGTGTCTTTATCAACAAGAGCCGGTATATTAAGATAATGATATTTATCTGAAGAGTTACCTCTTAACAGATAGCCAACTAAATCTTCGTCATGAACCCTCTGCATGATGATACACATAGGTGTTCTTGGACATTTAATTAAATTGCCTTCTTCATCCTGAATAACACCATCATTGGCAAGACGGGACATAAAAGTATTGTCAAATCTGTCATTAATTTCTGACCGTACTGTTCCTGAATAAGCGTCTTTGGGTTTAATAACGTCATCGACAACGAAACAACCGGAATAGACAGGGGATAATGAACCAGCACCTTTTCCTGTAAGTTTCCCGCCGGTAGGCACGGCATGTAACGTTCCTTGCCGTGTCGTTCCCCATCGCTCTAGAGATCTTTTGTCTGGATTGATTCTTACTTTGGGGAAGATTTTCATAAACATGGGGTCAGTCATTATCGCCCTGATATATCCAGAGGATTCCTGAACGACATCATCTGCATAGGATGTTATAATATTCTGACTTCCCGGATTATGGCAAAAAGAATACAGAGGTAAGAAAATAGATAAAATCTGTGTTTTAGAATGCCTTGGTGGAATGGTAACAATGAGTCTATCTATTTCACCATCGATAACTTTCTGGCATACATCAAATACAATAGAGTGAAAATCTTGTTTTTGAAACTTGAATCCCATCTGTAATTGAAAACACCAAAGTGAGAATTTTTCAAATGAACTGATTAAAATACCCTGAACGGCATCTACTGTCTTTTTATTTATCTTTGTTACATCAACCTCACGAGGATTTTTAATTATTTCATTAACTAAATCATCTTGAGTGTTAATGCTTTCAGAAAATACACCCTCTTCATCCTTGGTGGTGATGCCACTTTTAACTATTTTTTCTATTTCTTTAGCATAATGCGTACTATCTTCAGTGCTACAATCTCTAAATCGTTTTAGTTGCGCTTGCCTTAATGAATTAAGTACAGCATCATATTTAAGGCCCATGCCTTCTATTTCAGATAATAGCCCTTTTTCATACTCATCTAAAATGTAATCGCTGGATGCTATATACCGTCTTAACAGTGGAAGTGTGTGGGCACAGAATCGACTTCGTTGTACATCCAGTAAGTTACCATAATGTTTTAGCATATGGTAAATTACCTGATTGTCATAGTCCTCTCCCATATGTTGCATCACTATGGCCTCTTAATTATTTAACTAAATCTTTCGTTAATTTTCATCATCGATTGTTATTTTGGAATACTAATTACGGACACCTCAGTTTTAGGTATTCCGAGGTGTCCCGTGTTGGTATTAAAAGTTTTCATCACAGACAGGGCAACAACCATGAACAATATAATCATCTTCACAAATGCTCATACCACAACTTGAGCACTGATACTTCCTCATGCTATCTCTTTTACTTTCATTTTTATTGTGAAACACACTTGGATATGATGGATTTTCTTTTTCTATCAGCTCCTTATATTTAGGCCATATCTCCTTACCATATTTAAACCATTCATTAAAAACTGCCTGATTGATTTTATGAGCAGACCATCTATTATAACCATCCTCTAGCCATTGGTAATGTTCTTTCTTATAATCCTGGCTAATTGCCTTCTCATATTTCTTCAAAGAAAGCTCATCCCCTTCTCCATATATGTATTTATCCATGCATTTAAAATATTCATCTTTCTTATCTATTGTTATATTTTCATTCAAGTAAAATTTATCCTCTAAGTTTCCAGCAATATAATATAATGAATCTCTCCATCCTTCGCGCTCAAATTTATCCATATACCCATTAGAAAGGGCGTAATAAACATAAGGAATAAGCTTCTCTTTTTCCATTTCATAACCTCGCATACTATAAGTAAATACAATTACTGCTTGAGGCAGGTACATGCATACAAATATTATACTATTACAAAGAGGTCGATAGCGCAGTGAAGTTTGTCAAAATTTACAAAACCCACTATTAAGATACGAAAGATTCCCATCTTCGTTCATTGAATTGAGAGTTGTGCAGAATATCAATCTGAAATCTCACACCAAATCTTACAATAACCTTAAATGGTAATATCATAGGTTTTACAGAAAGTATCAAATCATTAACACACTTCTGTATTCGCTTTTTTGTTTCTTCATTATTCCTGCTGTGAGGAAGAACATACACAAAAACGTCAGCATTGGTTGTTACTCTTGCTGCTAACACTCTTGATAAATAGGTTCCTCCACCTTTTGTACAGCATGAACTATCCAAGTAACAGATTTTGACGCCAAATCTGTTTGTTCTTAGCTCCATTCCGTTACTCATCGTCTACGGACACCTTGCCTTATACTACCTTAAATTATTTCAATCCCGTTGAACCAAGGCCACCATCACCACGTTCAGTTGAAGATAATTCATCAACATTGTCAAAAGCAACCTGTTGAATTGGAACAATCATGGCTTGTGCAATTCGTTCTCTGGGTTCGATAAATAAATCAGTATCGCCATCACTGACAAGCTTTATCAGTACTTCGCCACGATAATCACTATCAATGACACCCACACAGTTAGCTAAACGGACACCATGCTTAAAACCATATCCAGATCTTCCCGTCACCAACATGACATAACCTTCAGGAATTTCAAATGCTAATCCTGTTTTAAACAAGTCGCTACCCTTGGATAAAACAAGGCCATCATTGATACAATGCAAGTCAAATGCCGCCGCACCTTCTGTCGCATAAGCAGGAATAATGGCATCCTTGTGCATTTTCTTTATTTTTATTTGCATCGATATTTCAAACTCCAATAAGCAGCGATAAGTGAATGTATTGCATTGTCTATCTCTCCAGACACCAAGTGAAGGTCGCAACTTTGTACACCATCAATGCCCTCAGGATAAATATAGTTACGGCTATCATTGTTAAAAACAAAGCCATCACGAAACAATCTAACAACCATGACGATTTTAAATACTTTTGTTAGCGATTTAATTTCAGACATGAAACCACCATCTGAATATATAATGTCAAATTGCCGGTCATTTAAATCATGTTGAAGTTGCCTAACCTTTTCTGTTTCAGCATTACCAAAATAGTCTTCTCCATACAGAGGCTTAATGATTTCTTCAGACACATGAATTAATGCTTCTCTGGCTGTCATATTATTCATCGCCGGAATTCTTACAGAATCCTTTAAATCTCTGTGTGTTGCAAAGAAAATCAAATGGTCTACATTTACACCAAAATAAGATGCTGTTTCTTTATACAGCAACTGTTTGAATTCCCGCTTATATAATCCACATGGAATCGCTGTCGTCATACGTTGCGCTAACGTATCTTTCCCGCATCCCGGCGGGCCATTCAGGATAATTGCTATATCTGATTTATTACAATCATCTATATAATTAGATATATTTCTAGTCCAGTGACTCTTCATCTTTATCAAATCTGATTCGCTCGAAAGATGGGAAACGCAACTTGCCATCATCAGTAATCTCTCTATATTTCACTTGAATAATACGTCCAATCATTTGATGTCTTTTTCCCCAAAAATCGACACGTTGCGGGATATCAAAACCAGAACCAACACATCCTTGCTCTGTTTTAAAACTACCTAACATGCCTTTCATTGCACCAGTACCTTCCTTGAAACCTGTAATTTTCAAGTCTGCATACTTATAGGGAACAACCTTCCACCAAACCATTTGACCTTGTTTGTTTTTATGTCTCACAACCAAACCTTCGTCACCCAATGCAAGACGTTTATGCATAAGGTTAGCTAGATTTTCATTACTCGGATTAACAGCTCTGCCCAGATATAAACGCTTATCAATATGATCATCAAGCAAATTATAAACCATCTCTTGTGTGACGACTTTGAGCGTTTGTGTCCGAACGAGCGAAACTGTGGTGTTCCAGTCTTTATAGAATATCTCCGCATCTCTAAACTCCAGATGATTTAAGTTATATAATGGTTTTGAGTTTCTGGATACAATGCTATTGTTCTTTAACCGTAGCGCACGAACACCATCAATTTTTCTATAGACATGGCACACACCTTTTATCGTTTTATCACCTTCCCAATTGTGAGCAGATGCTTTAATATAAGTTGTGCCATCAATCAGTGTTTTTATTGACACATGTGTTCTCCATAAGTTTATAAATGCTTCTGCAAGAATTGCCGCACCACTTCCTTTCTGGCTTTTTCAGTATTAGGTGACGGCAATGGAATGCCTGCCATTTGTAATTTAGCAACCTGCTCTTTACTATTGAGCTTTCCGAAGGTGATTACCTTTTTGGCTATTCTTGCCGTTCTTAAATCTCCACCATACCGTTCAACATAAGTAACGATGCCATGACAGCTTTTGCACAGAATTTCTAAATCATTCTCTGTTACCATAAGCATTCGCTTGGCACACTCACCAAAATTTTCTTTGGTCATCGTTCCTACGGTATTTTTGTGATTAACTTCCACCTCTGAAGTTTTAAAATACTCACCACAAGATTCACACTGATAATGCCAGATTATTTTGCCGGAAATGCTTTTTCTTCTTATACGTTTATGCTGCAAGAGTCCTAATTTTACCGGGTGTTTTGACCAGACTCGTCTAAGACCACTTCTAAGCCAATTTAAATATTCTTTTTCTGAACGTAAATATCCATACATGCTAAATTAGCTGGGCGTTATATTTTTATATCTACCCAATCGCCCTCCACCGGAACAACCAAACATTGACGTTTTAAGTCAAAGTATTCCTTGACGTCTGTATTGTAATGCCACATTAAAGCCTTATTGCCATCAGTAATGTTGTTGACCATATACAGAAGTCGCCCGTTACTTATTAATTCATTTTTCCATTCACTGCCAAACCGGGTAATGTACTGTGACATTACCGTCCTAAGTCCTTCAGGGTACGTCTGACAATTTTTCAGTAATTCATAAGCTTCCACAGCCCCAACACCAACACGTTTTAGATAGCGTTGACCTGCTTTCTTGCCCGTTTTATATGTATTTTCTTCACGTCTACCGCACCCTAATATCCCGTCCGTACCATCACCGACGAGTAATTGCCACAGAAAGAATTTAGCGCCAGTGCCTTTCACTTCTTTCTTTTTTGACTTCCCGTTATCTTTAATAATTAGATTAAGTTCACCAAAGCCTTCAACATGAATTTGCTTTTCACCTTTATGCGGTGTTTCCCATTGATAGAGCGTACAACCCACTTGTGCCAAATCTTTATCCAGACTGGCAATATACACTTTGTTATCGTGACGGCCTTTATTAGTAAGCTTCTGGATTTTATTAAATTTACCCAATTCTATTTCATAATCGAATTTAGCGAAGCAGGATAGCAAGTCATCAGCTTCAACACCATCCATACTGTAAGCATCCCAGCATGTTTTCAGATGTGCTTTTGCATTCTCTAAATTAAAGGGACGCCAGACACCATCACGGTTAGATTTATATTCTTTATTAATCACAAATCTGAAGTTCTTATGCCCTGAAAGAAAAACCTTAACTTCATCGGCTTGTAGCCTTTTAGAGATATACTCCAGCTTTGCATCCATACTATTCTGAATACGGCTAAAAGAAATATCTTCATCCTCTTTGCCATACTCCTCTGCTGCACTGTGGGAAAACGCAACCATATCCCCATCAACAAGCACTATTGTTTTAGACATTTCTGTTAACCTTATTAATCTTATAAAAATGCCCTTACCCATGACATATACATATTAATGATACATACCAATGATATAAATAGGGTAAGGGCTAACATTCAGCCACCTGCTTGTTTTTCTTATGGGTAGCATTGATTGTAATCATGATTTAATTATGCTTTAACCATGAATAATATTACTGCTTTTTTATTGTGTTTGGTGCGTCAGAATGGCACCACAGGTTTAGCAGCTTCTTCGTCTGCGCCTGTTTGGGCATTGATGGTTTTCTCTTTTGCTTTACGTTGAGCTTCCATCTCTGCCCTCATTGCTTCATCAACATCTTCATCAGACGGCTTGTCACTTTCGCTATTACCCGTATACTCAACACCATTTAGTAGTGCTGCAAGCTTGGATTTATGAAATTCCATTCCTGATTTAATACGCTCTTGTGGGCAATAGGGATTACCTTTCGGCAATTTATTAAATGCCGTAACGTCCGGGTTATCCATATCAAAGAACAGACTGTCGTTAACTAATGGTGGCGCGACCTTCTTGTCTTTACCCTTCATTGCCGCAAAGGAAGAGATTTTATTCACTTTCTTTCCTGCATTTTTGCCTGTTTTAGCCATATGATGAATCAGGTTAATCACCAGAGGTTCACCAATCAATTCTGGTAACTGCTTGGCAGGGTGTCCGGGAAAATCATCTGATGGAGCGACTTCAAATGCATCTACAGCTTGCATTAGCTTGTAAATGTGAGAACGTTCTCCCATGAAACCATCTGGATTATAGGTGAATTCAAAATCGAACCAACGTGGCTTATTAACGATGGGAATATTCTCATAGTCACCATCTTCATTCTTAACTGTTTTAATTGAACCATCTTCATTTACTTCACACATGAATTCATCCAGACATTCAAACTTCATCAGGATTTTATATACAGGCTCAGGATATTGTGCAGAACCGGGCTGAAGTCCAAGATCGATAATCTGAACAATACGTGCATTGTAACCGCCAGCATCTAAGAGAGGCGCTGCTGATGCTACATTCGCTGATGTTTTTGTTGCTACTGCAAAAGCCATATTTATTTCTCCAAATATTGTAACATTACTGTTTCACGATTACTTTTCATGATTGGTTTTCACGATTAGTTTCCATTGTGTATTTCAGTGAAGTTACTTTTTTAATTTTCTTTAATTTTAATGAATTTCAGAATAATTGTGTCCATATTGAACATCACAATCAATCTGCCTGTTCATACTCAATACGTTATTTGTATTAACCATTGCCTCAGTCATAATATCACTCCAAACATCACGCATACCTTCCTTGATGATTAAAATCATTTCATCATGAAATTGACCTGCAAGTTTTGGGTCTAGCTGATAACGTTGGTGACAGATATCAATAACGGCATTACACCAGATATCGAAAACATAAGCGCCAGTTCCTTGACATAAGGTAGAAAACCTGTCTTTATCATTTCGGAGTGAATACCAGAATTTATTCACGGGGTTCTGTTGCCACATTTGACCTTCTACCGTTTTTACTGTTGTATTGGCAGCAATTTCCTTGATAGCCCAATTCAGCTTCCAATACGCTTGATGCAGAACTTCGCCCATATTCATCCCCACGCCAGCAGCCCGTGCAACCGTTGCGACACCTGCGCCATACTGACAGCTATAATTGGTACTTTTACCTTTATGACGTTGCTCACTGTATTTTTTGATGCCTGATTTATGCTCTGCTACTTGTTGTGCGGTCAGTAGTCCTCCCATTAAGCAGACTTCCAGATGCGGGTCATAATCGTCCCTCATCTGTTTCTTGACATATTCAGGGTCATACAGCCATTGGTAATGATGCTTACAACGATCTTCAAGCGAGGACAAGTCACTACCAAGTAGTTCATAACCGTCTTCAACTTCAAGCAAGCCACGAAGCTCTTTTCCATACTGAACACGAATAGAGGGAAGATTAACCAATTCACGATGCTTAAGGCGAAGCGTGTTGGTTAATCCTCCACATCTGGCAGTAAGATAACCATTGACATGTTTATCTAGAAAACCTTTACAAATAGATGAACGATGCTTTAAAACACCTAATC